ATCAGAGTATGTCAGAACTGGGAGGGATATTTGGACATAGAACACAGAATGTTGGAGCTGGGAGGCCCTTAGAACATAGAATGTTAGGGCTAGAACACCGAGGCAGTCCATTCCACTTAGAACAGGGGTTCTTAGTTTTTTGCGTGTCATGGACTCCTTTGGCAGTCTGGCACAGTTGATGGACCCCTTCTCAGAATAAGCATTTTTAAAAAATATTGAACTGAAAGGTCCTTTAGAAATCATCTAAACCCCTCATCTTACACATGGGGAAACTGAGGTCCAGAAAGGGGAAGTCCACAGGAGCAGAAATAAGTCAGTATAAACTATTCCTCCCTGGGTACTTTGACTGGAAGGCCACGGCCCTTCCACTGCCCTATCCTCGCTGTGCTCGTGGCCCCTGAGCTTCTTCACCTCATGGGAAGCCCTTCCTCTGCCCGTCCCATTTTCGTCAGAGAGCAGCTATTTCAAGTCCTCTGGTATGGGAGAAAGAGGTCTAATGGTGGGTTCTAATTCTTGGTTCCACTGCCGACTTTTGACAAGTGACTTTGCCACTTATTAGCTGTGTGATTTTGGACAAGTTGCTTCTTCTCTGGGCTGTGGCCCCATACGTAGAAGGATTGACCAGATGATCTCAGAAGGTCCCAATTCTGCGTTTCTGTGATTCTCCTCCATTTGCTCATATGTTAAATAGGAATGAGAAACCACGTGCTGCCTTTCTCCCTGCTGTGGATTGTAGGTGATGCATTTTGGGGTGCATGAGGACCTAAGCCAGACACAATCCTGGCATTATTTGGGACTGAGGGATTCCCAGTACTCATCCCAGCTAGATCTGGGCCCCAGCTTAAAATCTCCCAGGAGTCAGAGGTTAGGGGTGAGGGCCTAGGTACAGCCAAGAAACCCCCAGATCCAGGCCTTCCCCTTTGAGTCATGAGCCAAAGCATAGCAAACAACCTTGGAGCAGAAGGGTCAGCTTGTGCTCCCCAGGGCCACTCACTCTCATCTGCTCCCCACCGGCAAGGAGTGGAGATGCCTCAGCCTGGATCAGATGGGTCAGCACTGGCTGGGGCCATTCCAGAAACAAAGCCAGCAGCCCTTCCCAGCCCACCCCCACAATCTGACTATGCAGCTGCTAAAAGCACCCAGCGCTTCTGGTGACTCCCTCAGAAGGTTCCCTTAGGACTCCTGGGTTGGTCACACCCCCTTCCCCAACCCTGAGGGAAACGGCTCTCACTTTCTCACTGTCTGTCTGCAATCTTCTGGGTCTCTCTCCATTGCTCTGACTCTCTCATCTCTTTACCAGCCTCTTTCTGTGTACGTCTCTCTTTCAACTTGAACATGCTTCCCCCTGCCTCTGCTGATGTTGGACAAGTCTCTCCTCCTTCGTGGGCCTCAGTTTATATCATGTAAGATGAGATGGCTGGCCAGGGTGCCTTGCGGGGCTGATGTTCTGAGTCCTGACTCCCTCAGGATCCCTCTAGCCTCCTCTCCTTCGCTGCTGCCTCAGAAGCCGTCCACGGGCTGGGAGGTGGGATCCTGGGTTTTCACAACTAGAAGGGGCCACAGCGATTGTCTGGCCCACTCTACCACCCAGGTCAGAAATTTCCTCTGCAGATCCCCCAATGGGGGTTCATCTAGTTTCCCCTTGAACACATTCAGTGACAGGAAGCTCATTTTCTGAAGATCATGGGATTGTAGATGAAGAGCTTGAAATGAACCATGAGGCCACCTACTTCAACCTCCTCTTTTAACAGCTATGAAAACTGAGGCCCATCAAGGTTGTGACAGGCCTTAGGTCACATAGCTAGTAAGTGGCAGAGCTGGGATCTTAACCTGGGCCCTCCAATTCCAATTTCAACACTCTTTCTTCTAAGACAGTTGGTTTCATTGTGGGGTAGCCTTGAAGGTTAAAAAGAAATCATCTTTATGTTGAGCTAAAATCTACCCCGTCCTGATTTCTTCCCCCTCCCACTGTTGGTCCTTTATGGGACTTCCCTGAACAATTCTACTCCCTCTGTCTCCCAAAGGCCCTTCAGATACCTGAAGACAGCAATCATGATTCCCCTAAGTATTCTGCACACCAAATACCCCCAAGTCCTTCAGCTGACCCTGCGACACAGTCATTCTCCCCTATCATCTTGGCTCAGTGTCTTCTAGACATATCCCAATTCAGCAATGTCCTCGTTCATCAAATGTGGCCCCAGTATGGAGCCCTGTAGAACAACTGGGTGGCATAGTGAATAGAGCACCAGACCTGGATTGAGAAAGACATATCTTCCTGAGTTCAAACCTGACCTCAGATACTTCCTAACTATGTGACTCTGGGCCAGTAACATAACCCTGTTTGCCTCAGTTTCCTCATCTGTAAAATGAGCTGGAGAAGAAAATGGCAAACCACTCCAGTATCCTTGCCAAGAAAACTCCAAATGGGGTCATGAAGAATCAGACATGACTGAAGAAAGACTGAACGGAGCCCAGTGATCCAGGTGTGGCCTGGCCAGGGGTATGTTCAGTGGCTCTGCACACCCTTGTTCTGGGTGCTGTGCTTCTGTAAATGCCACCTAAAATAATCATAGGAGTTAGAAGAAAGGGGGGATCAGGAATCATCTAGATGGAAGGTGAGACTCAGAAGGGTCACACAGCTAGTGTCAGAACTGGGATCATAGACTCAGAGCTGGGGAGGCATCTTGGAGGACCTCTAGTCCAACTCTCTCAGGAAACTGAGGTCCCAAGGAGGTAAGTGACTTGCCCAAGGTCACACAGGCAAATCAGTGGCAGAGCTGGATTTGAACCCCTGTCTTCTGATCTGTGTCCAGCACTCTACCATGCTGACTAAGTTAGCTTTTAGAGAGGCAGAAAATGCCAATGGAGGGAAGGATTGCATGCCCTCCCTACCTCCCCTTGGGAATAGATGCTTCAGTCTCACATGCCCCAGGCACAAGCTTGCTCTCAGGCCCATTGGGTCCCTAGCTGTCAGGGTCCAGAGGGCCCTGCTTTCTTACATTGCACATCTCCCCCACCCTCCCCCAAACCCCCAAGGGGCCCTTCTCCCTCCTACTCCAGGCTCTGGGCCGTGGGATCAGGCCTTTCTCCTGTGCCATGGGAAGATTGATTGGGTTCTGCCAACAGTCCGGAAATCTGATACCCCCCGGGGGCCTGGGACTGTCAGGAATTGGGGCAACAACAGCACAGAAATAAAACCTGGGTCCTTCTATCTGGGAACACTCATAAATGTCCCGTCCCCTGCCACCCCCTTGCTCAGCCCCAGCAGCCAGGCCCAGCAGGGGGATGGGCCTCCATTTAGCCGGGCGCCACCACCAGCTTTGGCCCCATGCTGGGCCGGGTACTCTGGGGCCCAAACAATTTCCCCCCAGGCCCTGGAGAGGGAGAGGGTGAAGGTAGGTATTTTTAGCCCAAGAAAGGAGATGGTTGATTTAGAATTTGCTTAGGGGGCCGAGGGGAGGGGAGGAAGGCAGCTATGGTGGAGTAGGGTGCTAACTGAAAGGACAGCTTGGTATTAGAAAGAATCCAGGCCTGGAAGCTGGGAAACCAAAGCCCATGGCCGGCTGTGCAACCTTGGGGAAATCACTCTCCCTCTCCCTCTCCCTCTCCCTCCCTGGGACCCAGTCACCCCCTCTGTAAAATGAAGAGATTGGACTAGTCTCCAGGCACCCTTCCTGCTTGCCTAGGCAGAATGAGGCAGTAGAAAGCGCACCCCTCTGGAACTTGGAATTGGGAGACCTGAGTTTGAATCCTGGCTTGAGGCCTTGTTAGTTGGCTGGGTATCTCAGCTACAAAACAGGGCTGATAATGCCTGCTCTATCCACCTCAGAGTCTGGGCCTGCAAAGTCCTTAAAGCATTAGAAAAATCGGTTCTTTCCAGTCACCAGATCTTTGGCAAATCCCTTGTCCTCTCTGGGCTTCAACTTCTTCTGAAGAAGCTGGCCTGGATGGTCTTGAAGGTCATTTACAACTTTAAATCCTATGATCCTATGATTTGGGGTCCTTTGCCACCAATGCCAGTCCTCAGCTCTTCTGTCTCTGGCTGGGGTGCACAGACTTCAGTACCCCTTCCCCAGGTGCACTGCCTCGGGGCAGGGAGAGTGTTAAGGGGGAGAGCGGAAGGTAAATGTGGTTGGGGATAGCCCCAAAGGGAGAGTAGATGAGGTGGCTCCAAATCCCAGGAACCAGCCCCAGCCCCTGCCCTAGGGTAACCTGGGACCCTGTAACCACCCCCAACCACTCAGTGTGGCTGTTGGCGTCATTGCCTCCCTTCCCTGGACCCGGACCTTGTTGGGTCTTCAGAGGGACCAAGGCTGCTGGGAATGGGTGCTGGCCTTGGGTCCCAGAGCCTGGTGGCATGGGGAGGTGGGGTTGGGGTGTGGACAATTAGTATAATGGGTAAAGCGAGGGGAACTTGACCTGAAACCATCCCACTACCTTATTATCCCAATGAAAACCTTAGCCTGACCATCCTACTTTCTTATCTCCCCGATGGAAACTCTAACTCAGTCATTCCTACTGCCTTCTCCACCAATGGAAAACACTCCAACCATCCCACTTCCTCACTCTGATGGAAACTTTACTCCCACCACCCCACTTCCTTTTTATTTCAGTGGAAACTATCCTAATTATTCTGCCTGCTTAGCACTCTAATGAAACCAACCCACCCACACCCTACTTCCTTGTCAGTGGAAATTTCACTCCTTCCATCCCATTCCCTTATTACACCCATGGAAACTCTATCCCAGCCATTCCACTTCCAGATTATGGTTAGGTGGAAGGAGATTCTTAGGGACTGAGGTGAGGGAGAGAAGTAGAGAGGGTTCAGGTAGGGCCCTTGGGACAGCTGGAATGACAGTTTCACAGCCTGCTCAAGTTGGGGCCAACAGGAAGGCAACCCTCCTTCCTCTCTCCACCTTGAGGCCAATGCTATCCTCTCCCTGAGCTGTATCAGCATCCTGCTGAGGCTAGAAGGAGACGGACAGAAGTATCCACTGGTATTTTATATAGATATAGATATTGCAAGATTCACATATATAGAATACAATTTCCTGTACAAGGTCAGTTAGTTACTCAATGAAGTATATACAATCAGGCCTGGCAGGGTCACCACCAGTTGCAGGAGCCCTTTGGTTCCTGGGATGCCAACACCATGTGTCTTCTGTTTCAGGGCCCCTTGAGCCCCTCATGGCTTGCCCTGGTTGGCATCTTGACCCCCTTGGTCCAGAGGATGGGGTTCAGGGTGTCTGGTCAGGTGTTCTGAGGAGATTACCCATGGCCAAGGTTCAGGATCACCATATCATCAGCGTGGTGGGGTGGCGAGGGAGGGAGGTCAGAGGAGTACCCTGTGGGGGCCTCCCATCTGGGAGTGTTAGCCCCCAGGTGAGGTAGACAATGCAGATCCCAGGGGCTCTCACACGCACCCACACTCCTTGGCTGACAGTTCGCTGACTGTGTGGTAGCGATTCCGGGAGTCCAGGAATGACACTTCTTCCTCATAGGCCAGGGGCCTGCAGCAGGGCCGAGCCCTTATTTTCTCCTTGCGCACACGGCGCCGCTGCCGTAATCGGCGCAGCCCAAGGTCGTAGATCCTTGCGGCTGCTTCACATGTGCCGCTGCAGTATCGGAAAAGAATGGTCTCATCTGATACATAGCCCAGACCAAGTTCACTGACGCTGACCTCCAATTCCCGCAGGCCACAAGGCTGGTGGCGGACCCGGGCCCGCTTTCGCCGAGCCCCTGCCTGGCCTGAAAAGGGCAGTGCGTGCTCGCCAGAGTGCCCTGATGGGCTTGACCTCTCCACAAGTGCAGATATGAGCTCCCGGATCTCACCTTCTGTGTAGCTCTCAAACAGGGCTCGGTCTACGAGGGAAGAGAGACACGGAGATGGGGGTTAGTACGGCCACAGGAGCCTGCCCTGCCTTTGGCGTTACCTGGGGCAAATAAAGAATGCTGGATATGGAGTTGGGAGAGCTGGGTTTGAATCTGGCCTCAAATGCTTAGTGGCTGTGTGACCCTGGGCAAGTCACTTTGCCTCTGCTTCAGTTTCCTCAACTATGAAATGGGGATAATAATACACCTACCTTCCAAGGTTGTTGTGTGAATTAAATGAGATATTATTTGTAAAGGATTTAGCACAGTGCTTGGCACATGGTAGGTACTTAATATTTCCTTCCTCCTTTCCCTCCTTCCTTCCTCTCTTTTCTTGCTTCTTCCCTCCTTTCTCCCTTCTTCCTTCCTTCCTCTCCATCTCTGGATCTCATTTTTCTCTTTTGTAAGATAAGGGAGGTGGAATAGTGTATAGATGTTGCAGATAAACAGATTTTGATACAATACAGGATTTGGAATTGGAAGAAACCTTGTAGGTTATCTAGTCTTACCCCTTTCTTCATTTTATAGACAAGGAATGGGAGGGTTGGAGAGGTCAAGACTTGCCCGAGGTCATATTTCTAGTGTCAGAGTTGACACTTGAACCCAGGTCTTTTGGATAGATACATGGTCAGGATTCTTTCCAAGGTGATGCATTGCCTCTAACAGGTCACAGAGATTGTCTAGTTCAACGTTCTCATTTTACAAATGAGGAAACTGAGACCTGAGGTAGGGAAGAGCCTTGCCCAGCATGACACAGGCTAGCAGAGCCAGGATTCAAACCCTGGCCTTCTACTTGCAAATCCAATGCCTTGTTCACTTCAGATTAGCTTATCATTAGGAAACCAGTTACTCTGCTGTCTCACTGAGTCTGATCCTAGGACAGCGCTCTGGCTAGCTGGGGCCAAGCCCAGCCAGTGGCTGCCAGGCATGGAAAACCCAGTGGGAGAGGGAAAAAGGGGAGAGGGTTGCCACACCCCGTAGGGAACTGTTTCTGCCATTATGTCCCAGATGCTCCTTATTTCCAGAACTTCTATTCCTGTGGAACGTTCTCTGGGCCTGAAGCCCTAGCATCTGTGGGGACCTAGCTGTTACACATCTGGTTCTTATGACTGACCCTCCATCAGCTGCATTTTCCCGACTGCCCAATGGCTTAGCAAGGGTGGGATTTCTGGGGCAGCTGGAAGGGGGCCAAGCTGCATGGGCCCTGCTGACCTTAGCCAATCAGAGGAGCCACACTGCCAGAACTTCCCTCCTGGGGTAACAAGCCCCCCCATTTCATGTGTATACACACGTCATGGTCCTTGGGGTCCTTAACCAATGCTCAGCTTGGACCCTTACAAGTGCTGCCATGAGGCAAGCAGGGAAGGGGCCATCTGTCCCCCCTTACAGATAAGAGCACTGAGACCCAGAAAGGAGCAGTCATAAGGCAGGTAGAGATCAGACCAGGTGAACCCTAAGACTCCTTCTAGCTCTAACCTTCTTTGTAGTGCGAAGGATTCTAGTCCTAAGACCTGGATTCCAGTTGTGATCCTGCCACTGACTGGTTGTGTGACCTTGGACAAGTCCCTCCCCGTCTCTGGACCTCAGTTTTCTCATCTGTAAAATGAAAGGGTTGGACTAGATGGTCTCAAATTTCCTTTTCAGCTCTGATAGTTTTCAGTTTGGGATTTATAAATGAGCCCCAATGGTGCAATTTCAGGCATCATGATTGCTGAGAAGAGGAAGACAGGACCCCAGATTCAGAGCAAGAAGGAAACTTAGAAGGCCCTCAAGTCCAAACCCCTCATTTCCAGAAGAGCAACTAAGTGCCTTACCCAGAATTCCACTAAGTATAAACAAGTTACTACTACTAAGTAAGTTACTACTGAGCAGCTGGTTTGGATTTGAACCCAGGTCTTCCTGATTCCAAGTCCAGCGGTTTCTCCACTATGTTGTGATACCTCTGCAAGATCCTCACCGCGTAGAGGGCCACCCAGGCTTGGGGCTTCCCATCTCGCCTTGCCCAAGCCTGCTTTTTCCAGTCAGGGATCCCAAACAACTAAGATTTACCAGTGGGGCTCAGGACAGGAGCTGGAACACAGCCCTGTTCATCCTTTGTGGCTCAGGGAGGAAATCCTAGGATTAAACCCTGCTCCCGCCAGAGGCAGCATGGGGCCACACCTGGATTTCAAAGGGAGGAATAGAAAATGTTTTGGGGGCCCCAGGCATCTGCTCTGGCCTGATCTTTTTGGAGATGGGGTGGGGGAGCCTTCCAGGCAGCTGGACCCTGTTAGGTATGAGGCTGGGTCAGGGACACACCGAGAAAAGGCCCACCAAGGCTCCCAGTAGAGGTTGGCCTCCTGATCAGGAAGCTTTCAGCCTCTGGTTCTAATGCAGGGCAGGGGTACTTAGCCTGGGGTCCTCCTCTGGCAGTCATTCTGGGGAAGCCTAGGGGCCCCTGCTCAGAAGAATATTTTTAAATGTACAAAATAAAATACATAAGATTGCAAAGAAAACCAATTCTATTGCAATATAGTGTGTGTATATATATATATATAAAGTGTGTGTGTATATACATATATATAAATATATACTGTATGTGCATATACTATATAAGTATTACATATGCATATACATGTATATGTGTGCACTGTATGTATATGTGATGCGTATGCATACATGTATGCATGTATATGCATTACGATAGACATATACCTGTATATTATGCATATAGTGTGTGTAACATGCGTGCACACATGCATTATATGTGCTATATGTGGAATGTGCATGCATGCGCATGTGTACACTGTGTGTGTGTGTATACACATATTTTAAACAAACAAGTTCATGGCTCCAGATTAAGAACGTCTACTCTACAGAACCAGGAGAACAATTTATATAATAGCAACAGCATCATAAAGACGGTCAACTTTGAGGCACGAAGAGATCAAACAAGGCAGTGACCAATCGTGATTCCAGAGAATTCATAACGTAGCACATTGCCTGCTTCCTGACAGAGGGCATGGACTGGAGAAGCACATTGAGACACACATTCTTTGGACGTGGCTGACGAAGGACTTTGTTCAGTGTGGCTATATGTATTTGCTACAAGAATTTTGTTCTTTCTTTTTCAGTGAGGGCAGGGAAAGAGAGATGGGAGGGAGAGAAAAGAGATATCTGTTGACTGCAAAAATAATATTAAACTAAATTTAATTTTTTGACAGAAAGAAACCCTTGCTGCAGACTGCAAAGTCTCTCTCCATTCACATTCTGTTTGGTTTCTGACTCATTCTTTTTCTACCTCCGCTTTTGGTTTCTTCTTAGTTTATGGCTTCCACACTCTGTCTCTTCTCATTCTTCTCTGTCTTGCCCCGTCACTTAGGACCACAGACAGAGCTGGAAGGGGCCTTAGTGACTATCTAATTCAACTCTCCCTCAGGAAACTGAGTCCAGAGGACAGTCCAATTCTATTCAAACATTTATTCAGTGCAAGACACTGGACTAGGAGTCGACATTCACATGGCACATTCGAGTTTGCAGAATGCTCCAGGCCCCCACCCTGAGGCAGGCACTACAGGTAGTAGTATAGCCATTTTAAAGATGAAGAAACTGAGGCTCCAGGAGTTAAATGTCTTGCCCAGGATCACACCATTAGGGAGGGCTAGAAGCGGGGCTGGAGCACAGTCTTCTTGACTCCAAGCCCAGCGCTTTATCCATTACGCCAAACTGTCCCTCAGGAAACTTGGACCGTGGAACTGCCAGAACCTCTCTGGGCTTAGAACCTCAGGCTTTCGAACAGAGAAGAAGTTAGGGGTTGGCTAGTCAGTGCCCCCTTTCAATAGATACTTGGAGGCTAGAAGAGGGGAAGGGTCTCAACCGAGGTTCTGTATAACCATCACATCTCACTCTTCTTCTGTGTATCTTCCCACTTGCTTCCTCTTCCCTCTACAGGGGGCTCTCCGAAGTTACATATGGCAGCTTCACTAAGCCTACAGTCACTGAGTGGGATTTTAAGCATTTCATTAAAAGGAAGCCGAGGGGCAGGGCAGGGCAGGGCAGGGCAGGCAAGAGGAAAGAATGGACAAAGGATTGAGACAGGCCTCTGGGGAGGAACATCCCCCTTCTGCTAGGTGGTCCTGGTGAAGGGGAGGGAACCTGCTCTTTGGAAATTGGGCTTTTTCAGAAACAGGGGCCTGGCTGGAATGGCCTCCTCCCTAGTCCTTGGGGTTATTCTGTTTCCCAGCATCTCTCAGAAGCCCCCAGGGGAAGAGGTGCTGATGACTGATTTCCTGGCTTCCAAGATGGGGCATATCTGACCGGCGCCTGTGTGTGTCCACACCATTAGACTGCCCTAGGATGAGATAGGGTAGGGGGCGAGGGTGTTCCTGAGATGAGGGGTGACCCAGTCCCTCCCCTTGTATCCAGGCATGCCCCTTAGTGGGGCCCACAGTGAACTGGGCTGGGGCCTCTTGGGGAGGAATTCGGAATTTGCAGCCGTTCGTTTATAAACACACCTGTCACTGCCTAATGTGTGGGCAGATGTGTAGCTGCAGCAGGAAAGAGGGGCCTTTGGGGCTCCCCCACCATGGGTTGTACCCATTTAAGTAGCCCAAGCATGTGCATGGTTTGTGCTTGGGGGCACCTGCTAGTGAGGACCTGGCCCAGGGTGGCCGGCTCAGCTGGTGGCTTCCAGTTTGTTTCCCGGCAGCCCTGGCTCGGGTCTGGTGGGGCTCCACCCCAGGAACTGAGCCCATGAAAGGCAGGCAGAAGTCTGGGCTCCGTGATCCCTGAAGTTTCCCTCTTCCATGGGGCTCCGTGTTGGCTTCCCTGTCCTCCATATTCTGAGGTCTCTACCCCTGGAACTCACTGTGTCCTCCACATTCTGATTTTTTTTAAACACCCCGTATGCTGTGGGCTCTCAGCTCTGGTGGTGCCCAGCCTGTCCACCTTGCTGTGGGCTGGCTCTCCTCCTGCCCACACCCTCTGTCTGGGTAAACAGGTGGCTCAGCTTGGCCAGAGGATGTCACTTACAGCCAAGGCTGGCAGCCAACATCATGGTGGGGGGTGGGAGCGGGAAAGACAAGCAACCCCTGCTGTGCTTATGATCTCCAGATGTGCCTGCTGAATCCCCAGGCAGGGTGGGAGTGGGGAAGCTAAGACGGACAGATGGGACAGCTGCCTAGCCCTGGGGAGAGAGGCATGGGATGCTGAGGGCCACCCATGCCCCAAATGGTGCTGTCATGTCTGAGAGAGTCACGGCTCTGAGGACATTCCTTTTAGTACACCCAGATCTTCTCTCTCATTATTTCACAGAGGTCGTGTAGTGCAATGAACAGAGCCCCGGGTTCTAATCCTAGCCCTGCCCTTGATGCATTGTGTGACCTTGGGCAAGTCACTTCTCACCTCTTGGCCTCAGTTTCTCTAGCTGTAAAAGGAAAGGGTTGGATGTGATAAAGCCTCAGTTTCTTTCTAGTTCATTCTATGTTTTAAGGGCCCTTCTAGCTCTGACATTCCGGGATGCCCATTCTAAGGACCCTTCCAGTACCAACATGCTATGTTCTGTGTTCTAAGGTCTCTTTTAGCTCTGGCTTTCTGTGCCTGAATTCTAAGCTGTCATGTCTATCCTGAGCCTGGGAGCTCCAAAAGAGCACCGCCCATATCTTTCCCACAGCCTAGTCTGCACAAGACTGGGCACATGGGGGAAGGGGGAGCAGCATGCCCTGGTGGATGGACCAGGTCGGGCTCCGTCCTGGGAAGGAGTTGGAAGCAGGTGGATGCTGCCACGGGGCCCCCAGGGCCCTGCCTTGTCTCTGGGGCAGCTCTCCAGAGGCGCTGCCTGGGGCCCCTCCGGCCCTTGGCCCCCTGCCTAGGGTGTAAAAGTTGCTCCCTGTGTAAGCCACGGCCCCATGAAGGCTTTTCCAAGCTCCTGCCTGCGGCAGGGAAGGAAGTGTGGTTGCCTCTGTGGCTGTCTCCTGTTTGTCAATTGTGAATGCAATAAAGCTTGATTGTTTTATGTAAAAGGGCAGCTTAGGGCATCAGAGGGTAAAGCTGATGGGCACGGGCACATGCCACCACACCCACGTACACAGGCACACTGTCGTGGTGTACACAGACACGGTCTTTGGGAGCATGAATACTCACACACTCTGACAGCATAAGTGTGCAGGTGCTCAGGGACAGAGGGATGCAGGCATGCACAGGGGCCCCGACACTTGTACACTCCACATTGTATGTTCAACGAACCATGCATGCATGCCTGAATGTGTACTACATGCACACACGTGTGTGATGTGCAGGCATGTGTACTCGCCAGTCCAAACCTATCTAAGCACACAGCTTCACACCAACTTGTACAGAAGCCACACACACACACACACACACATATGCATGCACTCATGCAGACACGACACACAATGTACATGTGCTCAGTTGTACAAGCACACATACAAGAGCATGAACATGTCCTCACATATCCACCGTGTGAAAAACACCCATCTTTCTCATTTGCACAGTTGCTCACGGCTCCGGAAGCCAAATTCAGCTGCTAATGGAACTGGCCCCACAGCAGGGCTGGTCCTTGAGCGTGGAATGCCACGGACTCAGACACTTGGCCTCCTCGAGGCCCTGAGCACAGAATGGTTACAGTTCAGCAGCATCCTCGCGAGGTGGGAAGAACCTTGGACAGAGAGTCAGTCAAAGGTTCTAGACTAGAATCTTGCTTGGGCCCCTTCTTCCCTGCACAGCCTCCAGAGGGTCACTTCGGACCTCAGTTTCCTTCATCAGTAGAATCGGGGGTTGGCCTAGATCAGGGGCTCTTAACCTGGATCCCAGCGCCTTGTTTTTTAAAATACGTTGATAACTATAGTTCAACATTATTGGGCTCCTTTGTAACCCTCTGCATTTTATTTTCTGTAGGAGTCCAGGAACGTCCCTGGACTGTCTGCCAGAGAGCGGAGGGCACAGAAAAAGCTGACAGCGTCTGGATTGGGAGATGCCCACGGCCCCAGCTCTAGGTCCCATCATCTCCAAGGCTAGGAAGTGTGGATGGCCTCCTGAATTCCCATTGCTGGGAACACAGCTTAGTGATAATCCCCTGAAAAGATGCCATGAGAATGGCAGCCTGGCCTGGGCAAGTAAGTGAAATCCCTGGTTTCCTTCAAGACTCAGGTCAAGCCCTAGCTGGGGCAGCAGGTCTTGCCTGGGCCTCCAGTTACCAGTGCCCCCCCCCCCCCAACAAGGTTACCTTCTGCCTGCCTGCCTTCTGTGTGTCTTATCTACACACACACACACACACACACACACACACACACACACACACACAGACACCTGTACCTATTACCTCCCCCATTAGAATGGAAGTTCTTTGAATATACAGACTATTTCACTATATTCCCAGCCTTAGCATAATTTCTGGCACACAGCAGGTGTTTAATAAATGTTTCTTGATTATTATTTGTGATTATGTGTCTATAAACTTGTATCTGTAACTTGTGACTGTGAGCTCATCTGTGAGTCCCAAGCTCAGCGTGCATCTGTCTCTGAGTTTATCTCAGGCACGTCTCTGTGTGTACTTCTGTCTCCATATATCTCTCTGTCTTTTCCATGTGACTCTGTTAGGCTGGGCCTTTCAGCTTGAAGTCTGTGGTCCTAGGAGCCTTCATATTCTTTCTGAGTATGTCTCTGCCTACATCTGGGAGGAGATCTGTGTGTGTGTGTAGGTGTATGACATGCTTTTATTCTCCAGTTTGGGCTCAGGGACCAGGCACAGGGCCATGGACTGTGCGGAGCAAAGCTTGGCGCTGGGGAATGGGTGGGGTGGGGCAGGGGCTCCAAGGGGAGGGGGTGGTGAGTTTATTGACATTGGGTCAGGTCTTAGGGTGGTGGTGCTGGGAGGTAGGGGGAAAGGCCTTGGGCACTGGCTAGCTCCCAGGACTGGTGAAGGGGGGGTGGGGTGAGGATAAATCCTGGATTTCAGCTTACTTTTCAGCCTTCACTTAGCAGTCAGTATGGTCTGGGGGTGACTTCTATAGAGCTTGGATTTGTAAGGCACTGTGGCAGTGAGGGGCTGGGCAAGGGTTGGACTGGCCCTATGCCTAGCTACAATATGAGGCTGTCCACCTGGCCTAATATAAGTACCCTGTCCCACCTCCCAGCCCCACAACAAACCTCTCTCAGTCCCAGGGCAATGGCAGGAGAGCCATCAGAACCACAAGACTGGGATTTGGAAGGGACGTTCAAGATCATATATATAGTTAAATCCCTTCATTTTACGGGGAGCTACAATCCACACTCAAGTCCTCTGTCTCCAAACCTAGAAGGTCTCTGTAGGAAGATGAGAAGGTGTGGCATGATAACCAAGAGGAAGGGTCATGGAACACCACCAAGGGTGCAGGCTGGGTGGGAGGCCCTAGGGCACAGTGGAGCTCCTAGACACACGTGAAGTCAACCTCAGTGCCTGCTGGCCCAGGGTGGAAGGAAGATGAGGCCCCTGCAGATGGCAGCCCACTCTCCACCTGGGAATCATCCTCACAAGGCCCCTAGCCTGGGGCTTGGCAAGAAGCAGGAGATTAATAAAGGTCTGTTGACTTCAATTTTGGTGGTTGGGGGGCAGAGGGCAGGAAGGAGACAAATGAGAAGAGAACAAGAGAGGGAGACTGTGGACAAAACAGGAGAAACAGAGGGAGAGAGAGAGAGACAGTAGAGGGAGAGACTAAAAAGAGAGAGATGGAGAGAGAGACAGGGAGAAAAAAAGACTGGAGAGGGGGGAGACAGATAAAGAGCAAGAGGGAAAGCAGACCAGGTCCAGAGAGCTGGGGAGAGAGAGCCTTACACTGTGAGATGAGGGGCCAGCGGGGGTCCAAGGCCCGCGGAGGCCTACGCAGCATGGCTCGAGCACCAGGTCCCAGTCTTCGGTCACTGCCGGCCAGGTCTCTAAACACCCAGACGGAGAGCATGGAGCTGCAGAGCACAGAGACCAGGGCCGCCACCTTCCATAGCTTCATTGTCAGTCGCCACGGGACATTGGCCTCCTGTAAGACACGTGGGCAGCAGCACTTAGCCCAGGGAAGATCCTCAGTGCCCAAGAGGCCCTTGGAGGTCTGAGTCTGAGAGTCAGGCTCTAAGTGCAGGAGAGCTCTGAGGGAGATCTCTCCAGGGGCCTTAATGATCAGGGAGGGCTTGGGGGAGGGGGAGGGGAGGGGGACATAAGCCAGGCCTTGAAGGATAAGGAAGATCTGCAGAAGGGAAAAGAAAGGGGAGAACATTTCAGGCAGGGGGGGGCGGCGGGCAGCCTGAGCAAAAGCTGGCACAGGCTGAGGGCAGAGGTGGAGATGTGCCTAGCATGACCTGGGTTCTGCCTTGGCCCTGCCATTGACTTTCGAGGCCCTTCTCCTCCCTGGACCCCATTTTCCTCATCTGTAAAATAAAGGGCTGGGGAAGATTGGTTCTTTCCCACCCTACTGTACTGAACTGAAGATAGGAGGGGGGCTTTGAGTTCAGGGTCAAGAGGTCTAGATGTAATGCTCTGGGCTTCAGGAAATTACTGAAACAGGAGACAAACCTGCAGTGGAAGGTGTCCTGGGAAATTTCAGAATGTTAGCATTAGAAGGAAGCTTAGATATCATCTAATCCAGCCCTTTCATTGGGGAAACTGAGGCCCAGAAAGAGAAAAGGAGCTGCCCAAGGTCACAAAGCAGACTGAGAATCTGGAATGAGAGGTGGTGTGCAGGGTCCCAGAAGACCGACATTTTTCCTTGTAGAGACAGGAGAGGGAGAGATGGATGGTATCCCTCATGCTGGGATGGGGCCCCCCTGGCCCTGGGCCGGGTCCTTGCCAGATCTGGGATTAGGAATTGCCCTAACAGACAGCCCTGTTCGGACTTGCTCACCAAGGCTCCATGGAAAAATGCCTGCAGTCTGGGGTGGGGGACAGGGGGCAGGCCGGGAAGACTCTTGGCACCAGTACCAGGATGGAGAAAGAGCCTGGGGAGGGGGCAGCCTCTCTTCTTGAGGCAGGGAGAGACACAAAAAGCAGCTGCTGCGTTTAGGAGGAAAGAACTGGTGGGCAGATGGAGCCCTTGTGTGTGTTTGTGGTGGGGGGAGTCCTGCCTTATGTGCCCACAAGCAAGTCGACTAAGCTTTCTGGGCCTCGATGTCCCCCATCTGCAGAATGAGGGCATTGGAGGAGGTGGCTGCTGAGATTGATTCCTTCCAGCTCTGAGTCCTGGGATCCTAATCCTTCCAAGACGACTTGGATTTGAGAGGCTCCCTCCCATGTTAAAAGGCCATTCTCAAGCCACTTAGGGGAGATTATAGAACAAAGGCCTTCTGAAGGTTGCAGAAGCAGTGGATATTGGCAGGCACTTGGGATGGTTGGCTATAAAAAGAGGGGTGGAAGGAGGAGGGGCTGGATGATACCTAAAGTCTCCTCCAGCTATAAATCCCATGCTCCCATGCTCATTTGACAGCTGGGCCCTGATTTCAACCTTCGGCTTTCCTCCAGCCCCTATACAGAGAGGACACCGCTGAGTCACAGAGCTCCCGGTCAGGTCCACATAAGTACTACCCTCAGGGCAAGGGAGCTGAGGGAGAGTCAGTCAGGAGAGACCTGGGACTCTGACAGAGGACTCTGGCTCTGCCTCTTACTGGCTATGGGGTCCTGGAAAAGTCAGCCTTCTCTGAGCCTCAGTTCCCCTCACCTCTGTGAAATGGGTATGATCCTCCAACTACCTGCTTCCCAGGAAAGCATTTTATAAACTCGAAAGTCCTAGAAAGATGGAAACTGCTATTTTTATGGGAAGCAGGGTTGGGGGCAGCCTCAGTTTCCCTCATTGGTAAGATGCAGCGATTGGACTAGACATTAACGTCCCTTCCCGCTCCAAGTCCTAGGATCCTTTGGACCACTTTTTAGGGGGAGAGGGCTGAGAAATGCACAATGGGGGTCGAAGGTGGGGGCAATGAACTATGGGGTGGGGGGAGAGGAAAGCCAGGGGCCAGGGCAGGGCTAGGGGCGGAAGGCTTCCTAGGATGGCTGAGGCTCCGTTTACATTCCCAGGCTGCCGGGTAAACATTTACACTGGGCCTCAGCTCTGAATACTTTCTCCAGAACAGGAAGTCAGGGCCTGCCAGGTCCAGGCCCTAGAATGGAGCATCAGGAGAGCCAGGCTGGGGTGTCTAGCGGCCTGGGCTAGTGGGTGGGTGGGCAGACAGTGTGGTGGCCAGAACGGGGTCACCGTGTGGGCTTAGCGGTGACGGGGAGAGGCAGGGTAGGTGCTGGCAGTGTGCACTGAGATCCCTTTTCTCGGGCTCTGTCTGGAAAAACAGATGTTGGACCCTAGGATCAGACAGAGAATCTTCAAGGTGAAGAGAACCTTAGGGACCACTGAAGTCCAGGGCTTGTAACCTGAGGTCCATGGACATCCAAGGGGTCTATGAATAGATTTCAGGGAGACCGGAAACTTGGATAGGAGGGGGGAAAAACTACATCTTTTTTTTTTCTACCTTCTAACTGATGTTTAGCATTTCCTTTTATGAATGTAGGCAATAAAACCATTCTTCTGGTAAGGAGTACATACCATAGGCTTCCCATGACTGCCAAAAGGGGTCTATGACATACACACAAAATGAATAAGAAGCCCTGCTCTAGTCTAGACCCCCTCATTGTCCAGAGGAGGAAACAGAGGCCCAGACAACATCCAAACCAGTATTCAAAGGGGAGAGAGCAGGGATGGAGGTTGGAGGGAGGGAAGAAGGGGAAAAAACATTTAGATAGCACCTACTATACGCCAGGTACTATGTTAAGTGCTTTACCAATATTATTTCATTTGATCCTCACAACAACAACCCTGTGAGGTAGATGCTCTTATTATCCCCATTTTACAGTTGAGGACACTGAGGCAGGCAGAGTTCAGTGACTTGCCCAGGGTCACATAGCTAGTAAATGTCAAAGGCAGGATTTGAATTCAGATCTTCCTGACTTCAGGCCCAGTGCTCTATCTACTGTGTCATGTAGCTGCCTCTGGTGCTGGAGGGGAACTTTGAGACCATGTAGTCCAGTCCTACACAACCTATGGTCAGAGGGCTGCTTACAGCCTGCAGGCATGCCGAAGAATTTTAGTAGGCCCTTGAAAAATATAGAGGATGTTTTCCTCTACATTTTTTTGCAGGCTGCCCAAAATCCTTTGGTGGGCCCCAGGTTGTGCTGGCCTGACCTAATCCAACCCTTTCATTTTACAGATGAAGAAACTGAGACCCAGAGAGGGGAAGGACTTGCCCAGTGTCACACAACTAGTCAGTGGCAGGACCAGAATTAGAATCCAGGTCTTAGGACTGTGAGTGGAAGGTTCTTTCCAGTCCCCCAAGTTCAAAGGGGCCAGGTCAAGTTGGCATCTTTCTTTCTGGAGCAATAGGTAAGGAGACCATCTCCTCTTCTGGGCCCAGGTTTATCTGGTCCTCCAGGGTCACCAATGTGAGGGGGAAAGATCATGCCTACCTCTGCCCGGCAGCTTCTCTCTGCTCTGCCATCCACCCCACGATCTCCATCAACACTGCTAGGCAGAGACACATAAGCATTAAGAGGCAAAAGCTTGAAGGGTCGGGGAGGGCTGTTACTGGAAGAACCCAGGTTGTCTTTAGTTATGCGTAGGAACTGCTGGGGAGCTGAGGGAGGTAGGGGATGGCCCTACTCTCTTCCTATTCCACCTCTCTCCTTTACCCCCTATCCATCCACTCAGCTTTGGAACTCCCCATTGGAGTTGAGCTGTCTTAACTAGTGAGTGAGTGTACATTTACCTGACTCATTCTTCTGCTAGCCCCAAACCAAACCACGCTTCCCACCCCCTAAAGGAGTCCACCTAGGCCACGCTGGCCATCTGCCCTGATGCCACATGTGCAGCCCATACTCCCAATCCTCCCCTCCCCCATGCTCTGGGAGTAGTAGTCAGCTCAACACCACCATTGCTTCTGGACAGGACATTTCAGTACTATCCGATGGATCAGCACACCATCCCTAGAACTCTCCAGATCAAAACTCCCTTTCCTGGTCACCACTCCCCCAAATGTTTTGTCTCATCTTATTAGAATGCCAATTCCTCTGTGAATTGGTATAGCCAATCATGGAAAGCAATTTGAAATTATGCAAATAAAGTCACTAAAAGATCCATACCTTCTGACTCTGAGAATCCACTTCTAGGTATATACCCTAAGGAGGTCATTAACAACAACAACAACAAAAAAATAGCTTCCATACACAATGAAATATTTATAGCAGCCCTTTGTGTGGGAGCCAAGAAATAGGAACAAATCAGATGCCCATTGACTGGGGAAAGCCAAAGTGTGGTACGTGAATGCAATAGAATGCTATCAGAAACAATACCTAGCCACACAATATACACCTTCCAGGCTGCCCCACTACTGATGGCAAGGTTTGGGCCAATGTGGAACTCCAAAGTTGGAGGAAATTTATCCTATGACCCTGCCTTCCCCTCTCCACATTTCATGCCATCTTATTCCTCTCCCCACATCATGTATAATGTTCCCTCTTTACTACAACCTCATTTCTTCCCCATGTCAATCAACCAGTCAACAAACATTTATTAAGCACTACTATGTGTCAGAAGACATGTGGCACAGCAGGTAGAGCTCTGGACCTGGAGTCAGGAAGATCTAAGTTTAAATCCAGTCTCAGACACTTGCTATTTGTGTGACTCTGGGCAAGTCACTTAACTTCTCTTTGCTTCAGTTTCCCCAGCTGTAAAATGGGGATAATAATAGTACCTACCTCACTGGATTATCGCGAGATAATATTTGTAGAAGCACTTAGCATAGTACCTGGCACATAGTAGGTACTATTAAAATGCTTATTCCCTTGGAGTTACAAATACAAAGAATGAACAATCCCTATTTTCAAGGAGCTTAATCCAACTGGGGAGAAAGTGTCTCCCTACATATTATGTGTATTATATATATGTATTATATTTATATACTTGTTTTCCTAGCTTATATATGTATATGTGCATATATAGAAATATAT